CCCCAAAACCCCAAAACCCCAAAACCCCAAAACCCCGCTAATAATAAGTTAAAGAATATAGTAAAATAATAGAATCTATTTAAATCTGAATTAAGTCATATTAGATTGCTACTAAATACAAAAGTCGCATCACTTTTTCTTGTTCTTAGCTTTATCCTGCTTGTTGTTACTCGGAGCTGAATCTACTGACTTTACCTTTTGCTTTTTAGGCTACTAAGTTTTCTCTTGACTCTTTTCAATTTGCTTCTTCACTTGCTAAACTACTTCTTTTTTTGTTTCAGTCTTCTTAACCAAGTTTGGCTAATCATTATAACCTATAAGCATGAAAAGTCCAGCAATTATGACGATTAGTGTGACTGTATCTTGATACCTACTCTTTTCAATCAAATAGGCAGTGTAATCAACATAAAAGAACCAGATCGAGAATGCAATAACTCCAACCAAGAACTTCATAGTTAAAGCAATGTTGAAAAGAGATAAAGCACTTAATCTAAGGATAATTATTCCGTAGAAGTACCCGAAATAAGTCTAATAATTCATCACAAATCTAAGCACTATATCCTAGTCAAAGTAAAAATACTTTTATGCGAAGTCCAAATGATATTAAACTCTAGTGATAATCAGCTCTGGAGTGTCCTTGTTGATAAGAAACATTTCTAAGCCTGATTTGAGAAGAGAGCTTAAAAGTACCAATCTGATTAGGAACATAAATACATTGTGAAAATTAAAAACTTCCATAGTCTGATTACAATACTTAAATGATTTTAAAAATTAATAATTATTTAATTTGAGTTATAAATCACAATGGAAAACCTAATGAAAAAAACAAATGAAGGGGGAAGTGGATCGGAATCAAGATCTTCCTCTTCATATAACATTTGCACTCCTTAGACTATAAAAAAAGCACCAGAACTTAAATGGATATTAGCCTCGGAGGGTGCTGATGATGGGTAATTTCTATCATTGTTTTAAATTTTGCTTTATAGAAACATTTAGACACCGCAAATTAAAAATCATACAGCAACACTTTACAACAAGAAACTCTATGTCTTCGGTGGATATGATGGTAAAAAGAATCATAGCCAGTTGAGGATATTTGATACTGAAACTCTCAAATGGATCAAAGCCAAAAGAGCAGGAGGTAATCCCCCACCTGGCAGAAATGGTCATACAGCCACTCTTGTTGGTAAATTCATTGAATTCGATGAATAATAGTTTAATTTTGCTTTTATAGATCATAAATTATATATACTCGGAGGATGGTTAGGTCAGGGACCACTCGCTGCAGATGACATGCACATATTAGATCTTATTAATTTTAAATGGCTCGATTTTAATGTGAAGGGTCTACCTCCTGGCCCTTGCAATATGCATACTGCTGATAGTTACAACAACAAAATATACGTATTTAGAGGCGGTGATGGAAAAGATTACTTAAATGATCTTCATGAATTGGATACAATCAACTTATAATGGACAAAGGTTACTTAAAATGGAGCATGTCCACCACCAAGAGCTAATCATAGCTCAGCAGTAGTAAAGCAGCACCTGTACATATTTGGAGGTTGGGATGGTTCCAAAAGATTGAATGATCTTTACATGCTAAATCTTGACTCAATGACTTGGATACAGGTGATTGTAGAAGGAGAATCACCAGCACCAAGAGCAGGAATGAGTCTTTGTAACGTTGATAATAAATTGTACCTCTTTGGAGGATCAGGTCCTCATGCTTACTGCTTCAATGATTTATACTCGTTTGATCCTGAACAATCCAGATGGACTTAATGCGACAACTTTTCTAATCCTGACAAATAACCAAAAGCTAGAGCTGGCCATTCAAAGACTCTGGTCGATAGTAGATTATTTATAATTGGAGGGAGTTACGGTTAAGATTACTTGAAAGATGTATATATTCTGGACACAGATCCATGTCCTCAGTTCTCCTTCTAAAACACAAGTAAAAGTAAATTACTCAAGGGCATCAGAGAATACACTAATAAAGAAGAATTTTCTGATATCGTTTTTATTGTTGAAGGCAGAAAGTTCTACGCTCACAAACTTATCTTATCACTTTTGAGGTATTATATTTTGTCCATATCAATTCAAATAATAGTGAGAAGTTCAGAGTGATGTTTACTAATGGTATGATGGAGAGCAAACAGAAAGAAATAGAAATTCAAAACATCAGTTACCCAGTGTTCTCCTCCATCATGCATTATCTTTACACAGGTGACTTCCATTTTGGAGCAGACACAGAGGGTCAAGAGCTCTCTTTAGACTACATGTTTGAGTTCCTGAGAGTTTCAGATGAATATATACTTGAAGATGTATGATGGATTACTAATGTTTACATTTGATATAGGTTAAAATGAACTGCGAAGAATATCTGATAAATATACTGAATACAGAAAACTACTCATTGATAAATGACATGGCAGACATGTACAACGCTGAGAGACTTAAAGAGTACTGCAACTGGTATTACAGGAGGCATTCAACACAATTCGCAGCTGATAGTTGTATGAGCAACGTCGATAACATCGATTATGATGATTGAGCAACTATCTATTTGCTATCTCAGAATTGCAAACTTTTATGAATGGTTTATGATTTTAACATTAATGATTAAGAAATGATAAATGAAGTTGCTGGTAATAAATTTCTAAAAACTTCTAAGCAGATTTCATAAATTTTTATCAAATGGGGTTTTGGGGTTTTGGGGTTTTGGGGTTTTGGGGTTTTGGGG